GACATAGAATTTGACACTTGTCGACATTTTATTGGCTCAAAATTTATATGTCTACAGTTGCCCCCTTTCACCTTTGACTATTGACCATACTAGTAAACATAAATAAAGTAAAAAATGAAGAGAGGAAAAAGAGCCGGCAAAAAAGTGAACGGGAAAAAGAGAAAGGGAGAAGGAAAAGAAAAGAAAAGACATGCATCAACGACTGTCTTGGCGGTGCGAGATGGTGGCCGGAGTTCAGAGTAGGCCGAAAATGGGATGGGTCGGCCATGGGTTTCTGCAATTTTCAAATCCGAGAAGCCTAGGAGTTCTTTCATAGAAACCCAACTTTTGGGAGAATCCATTTAGAGATTTTGCACTGAAGTTTTTTTTTTTTTTGTTTTGCTTTCGATCTGTTTTAATTTTCCAAAAAGTGTCGTTTTTCTTTTCTTTTTTAAATGGATTGTCGCCAATTCCTCTGAAAGGCACTGAGGCGCGCCTCACAGGAGCCTCTCGCCACGCTAAAAGGCGAGCCGAGGTGACCTGAAGCGAGCGCCTCGCAAAAAGGATCGCCTCAGGCAGTGGCGAGGCGAAACGGCCCTCGCCTCGAGGCGTCGCCATGGCGTTACCATTTTAAACTATGTTGGGCAGATTAGGCAAGCAAGTACAAGTATTAGTAGCATAACAAAAATGCCTTCCTCGTCATTAATATGTGCCGCCTAGGCACTAGGCCGTGTCCGAACACCTCCGATTTGAACAAATCGGCAGAATCGACCAGGCAGCTAGGCGGCCCTAGGCGCTCCTAGGCGGATCGAGGGGTCGCACAATAATGCTCTGATGATAACTGCGCAAGGGTCGGGATATGAAGTACAAAGAGTGCCAGGAGTCGGTCCCGTTTCTAAAGCCCCTTACCATATGGCGCCAAAGGAGCTAGAGGAGCTCAAGGCCCAGATTCAGGAGTTTCTCAGACTTCTTGGCCATAGTCCCTTCTAGCGCTCAGCCCGCGTGCATAGGCCTGCTCGCGCAGCCCAACGCCAGTCCAGGCCAGCCCATGCCCGAGGCCAGCGCCCAGGCCTGCCCAGTCCGCGCGTCCAGGGCCCAGCGCGCCAGCTAGGGCCAGCCAAGTTTCTGGAGTTTGGCTCGGGTTTTAATAGAGATTTTTACACATTATAGAGGACATAGAAACACATTTTCACAAAAGATTGCTATCTAAACATCACTCTAACTCAGTTAAACACGCCGCAGTTCGTGCTAAAGCTCCAATCCCCTGCCGCCATCCACCTCAACCACGAATCTTAGACAAAATTCCCACTGACGTGGTGGCACTTTCCGGCGGACATACCATCGGTATCAGCCACTGCACCTCCTTCACCGACCGCTTGTACCCGGCGCAGGACCCGACCGTCCGATCAAGGCCTGCAGCATACCCAAACGACCGTCTCGACAAGAGCTTTGCAGAACCAAATATTCAGTCGAACTCCGCTGTTGGAACCAAAGAATATATTGCGTCGGTATAGTGGTTTTCAGTTTCGTTAGAGGCAAATGTGATCCTTAGTTCGAGTTCATTACATTTACAGTTCGATTCAGTATACATTATCATACTCACTCGTTATAGAAATGACTTTGCAGGAAATAAACTGTTTACATGCATCTGCAGAACTATCTGATGCATTTGATACACCTGTTACTGCAGTGCAACGTTTTGTTTTTTGCTTTTTACTTGAATTTTGTTGCTTATTATACATAATAAAGTTGATTTTTTCCCATACATATGATTCTTCAAATGTCATACTTTTAATTTCAGCTTTGGAAATTTCAGGTATTCTGCTATATGAAATGCTTTATGGGCGTACGCCCTTCAGGTGAAAGAACTTTCAGGCAGAAAACATTCGCCAACATCTTGCAGAAAGATCTCACCTTCCCGAGTAGCATTTCGGTAAAATCATGTATTCTTGTAAGGCATTATATTAGTTTAGACATGGCAAGGGCCGAACCGGTCCGGAACCGGCCCGGACTACGGGTCTTGGAACCGGACCCGTGATAAAACCGGGCAGGTTTCAGTTCTTAGTATTCTTGTTGACCCGCCAGTTCCGGGTAGGAAGATGGGTCGTTGTTTTTTTTTTTTATTATTGAACCGTCGGGTCGGGCTGGTTCATTTGAACCGGACCTTAGATATAGCCGGCTAGTTCTGGCCCAGCATTTGAAACCCGCCGGGCTGGGCCAGGTCATGAACAGGCGCAGTCTTTGGACACGTCTATATTAGTTAGTGTTCACTCATTCCTTCGTTTATTTCAATGGCCGAGAACCAAAATGTCGCTTGTCACGACCCGGCCCGGCCTTTGGACACGTCTATATTAATTAGTGTTCACTCATTCCTTCGTTTATTTCAATGGCCGAGATTCCGAGAACCAAATTGCTGCTTGTCATGACATTCCTATTCGACCTGTGCTAGTTTTCTCGTGTGTATTCTAATTTAATTTTTCATCAAATGCACCAAGGAAGTATGATAATAAAAGTTCTTTTCTGGGTTGTTGGGGAGCTGAAGATGTTAGACCATCTTTATCCACAACCCAACCCAACCCAACCCAACCCAACCCAACTCAACCTAATAATTAAAAGGTATTTCTCTCTCCTCCACATACACAACTCAATCTTCCAACCTAATTAATCTTTATCCTTAACCCAACCTAACCTAAATATTTATTTTAATTTAATTTACTTAAAAATTATAATTTTATTCCAAAATATATCAAGTGTGGTCTCTATTTGTAGAGAATGAGAAAATATTAATTTTAATATCTTTTTTATTTTTTTGAAACAAAAAAAAAAATACATTTGTCCAATCAAAATGAGACAAGTGTCCTATTTTCAGGTCACGACCCAAGGTCACAATGTGACCTGGGTCGGTGAATTTTCACGCCTTCCCTGGTGAATTTTCACGCCTTCCCTTCTTTTTTTTTTTTTTTGGTTTTTAATTGGTGACCCAACTAGGGGTATGTTTGGTAAGCCAAATAAGCTAGCTTTTAGCTTATTTGGTTAGCTTATAAGCTCCCTGTTTAAAATAAGCCTCGTTTGGTAGGACGAGCTTTTTTAAAAAGCTCGAGCTTATTTCATAAGCTACTTTAGGTAGCTTTTCAAATAAGCTAGTTGAATTTTTTTATTTCAGCTAGCTTATCAGCTAATTTACCAAACACCTTTTATCATATAAGCTAGCTTTTCAGCTATAAGTCATAAGCTATAAGCTATAAGCTCAAAAATTACATATAAGCTATAAGCTAGCTTATCAGCTATCAGCTAGCTTATCAGCTAATTTTACCAAACATAGCCTAGGTTGGGTCACCACTAAAGGTAGTTACAAGTTTTGGGATATTATCTAAAGTGAAGCAGAAATGATTTCTGATATGTGATGTGAATTCCAGGCAAGTCTCCAGGCAAGGCAACTGATCCATGCATTGTTAAATCGAGATCCAGCTTGCCGTTTAGGATCCAACGGTGGTGCAAACGAGATCAAACAACACATGTTCTTTCGTGGAATAAATTGGCCCCTCATTCGTTGCATGGTGTGTGTTCTCATCTGCCATAAAAAAAAAGTCTGGCTTCCCAATCGATAACCTTGAACGTTTTAGAAAAAAGATTAACTTGTGCTATACACTTTCTGTATGCAGACCCCACCTCTGTTAAATGCACCTCTCGAGTTTATTGGAAATGAAAATGGCGGGAAAGGAACTAAACTGGACAGATGAGAGAGTTCTTGGACATTCCATGTAATTATTCTAGAGTTATGCTAAGCAGTTCCGACTCGTAAAAGTCTTCCCCTAGAGGCACTCTCGTCACACAATTCGACATCTGACCAGCTAAATTCTAAAATTGAAAATAATTTGGAAAAAGTAAAAGAAAACTTCAAAATGGCTAGAGGATCTGTTCTTTCAGGTTTTAACAGAATATTTTTCGTCAGGCAGTTCGACACAAGTTTGCCTAATTGCCCCTCAGGATTATGTTATTTTTATTAAGGTTAATCCCAGCAAGCTTTACACATTTTTTCCAGCTGCGAAGCAAAGAAATCTCAACTGAAAGTGCATAGTTTCAAAGATGGCAATGTGGAGGATGCATGAAACGCGTGCATTGTTATACATAACAAATTAGGGTAAGCAGTGTGTTTTCTAACGAAATTTCCACAGTTGTGGTAGGGCCTGGTAGCTTATAAGGAGGTGAATATGTCCGCTGGCTGGACTAAATAGAAAAAGGAAATTTTCGTCGTACTTCGACTGAACAAAGTTTCGGTGATTATGAGTGGTATTTTCAGATTGTTGCACACCAGCATGCGCGCGTGAGTGCCTGAGTGAGATGTTTTGGCTTATCTGTAATGAGAGGTTTTAAGTCGTTAGATCAACAAATGCCCATACAGGGGTACATGTGCGCACGCACGCACGTGCGTGATCTGACGATTCAAAACTATACCCACAACAGTATGATTGAAGAAGCCATGAATCACTACAACGTTTTCTTTTAGATCTTATGACTCCATGCTATTCTACCAAAAACCTTACTAGAAAAATCAGGAGAGAAATGAGAAAATAAAACCAACAGTATTGCATGCATACTAAATTCCCAAAAAAAAAAAATGCCAAGAGTTTGAATTTCAGTCAAAAAATCATCGAGTACAATATAACTAGCAATTTTGCATACGGATTCATGACATGCAACACAATAAAACTAAGGTACATCAAAAACTTCAAATTTTTTTAATCATGTACAGTATATCTTTATGTTCCCAGCTACTATTTATCTACCTCCAGGGCGACTACAAACACATATATAATTCCCCTGCATTCTTGTTCTCTACTAGAACAGTTTCATGTCACAAGCACACGAACAACAGAGTTCTTAATTTATTTATTTATTTTACTCAGGATGTCAGTTATCATCACGAAAGAAAACATGTAGACAACAAAAAGCGGTACATACAAGTTTGCCTCGTCTTCTAATCTCCCGTGCCCAAAAAGAGGATGCTGAACTTTTAGAGAGGACGCAATAAGGGATAATCTTCCAGTAGTTCTCGTTCGGATAGAGTATCATCTTCATTTTGAGGGGTCCACAGCACCTCAACCGCCTGCATCAAGACAGAGGCAAAATGAGACCAAACGAAGAATATGAATACACATTTATAGTTATGAGTGACTGTGGTTTAAATCTTTTTACCAGAGTTTTACGTGATGGGATGGATGCTAGCTTTTGTAAAGCTTCTTTCAAGTCTTTACTGCTATTGATAGAAGGCAGCTTGTGTTGTCCTTCGGCTGCCACCAAAATCGTGATCTGCAATTTCACCATAGGCAAAAGAAATCACAAGGCGAAATGTATTTTTGAACCACGTCAAGTTAGAAAAAACAACTAAACCTTTCTTCATTAGTTATAAGGGGGCTAGTGGGTAGGGGATTCTAAATAATAAAGAATATGATGGACCAATCAATACAACACTCTTAAAGCACCCACAATGCATTGGGTCTAATTTTACATATGTGGCATATAAATAGACTTAAGTCCTAAATGACATGGACAAACCCAAGTAAAAAAACTCAAAAGTTATTCAATGCAAAAATAAAATACTAGGTCTAGCATACATGCCCACCAATAAAAATGCTCTAATATGTTTCCTTTATTAAAAGAAAAATTAAATTAGGAATAAATGATCTGTACTTGGGTCCAAAATAGACCCAAGTGGACTTGGTCTCTTTTTTTTATTGCCACATAAGCTAGACTAGGTCCACTTTTAATTGCATTGTGTAACACTTTTTTATAGACTAGGTCTATTTCATAGATGGCATGTGATTTTTTTCTAAGAGACCCAAAGCATTGTGGGTGCTCTTATAATGGATAAAGGGTACTAAAGGGTACCACTTGAGTTAAAGTGCGTGGTAAACTCAAACAGACCTGAATCTTACAATGCCATCAATTAAGAAAACAATGGGAGCATGAACTCTACACAAGAGAACCTGATATGAACCTTAAAGAGTCAAATCTAAAATAACAAGTTTCAATGTCAAAATATGTCAATGGAAAACCCAAGTGCATCAAAGTACATGAAATGACAACTACGGACAAAATATTTTATGGAAAGTTAAAATAGCAATGTAAAACACAGTTTTATACCAAAAGGTAGAACCGTCAGAAAATATAAATATGGAAATGTGCAGTATTTGGTACAAATCAATATAATTTTGAGGCCACAACACCTAAACATACAACACCTAAGATCTGATAACTAACATGAAGAACTGTAGTTTTACATGTTTGAAGTTGGTAAAACTTCAGCATCAGAAAAAAGCATCAACGCAAGAGAAGTGTAAGGGAACTATTTATAAATCCATCATAATCTAGGTCTGACATTTAATGCAACAAATCTAAGTTCGAAATGTTTACCACTATGTACTCATTGCTAAATCCACTTGCTCTCAGGCGAGTTGAGCTCTGCTTTCTAATGCTGTTGACGTTGACAAGAGTTTCCTCATCAAACTTACCACGTTCTTCAATAGAAAGTTGATTAAATCTTTTCTCCCCGTCTTCCATGCTCCTCTTTATATCAACCTGTATTTATGAGGTCAAACATAAAGCAAATTCTGAAGAAACCATAAACCAAAAGAGGAATCTCTATTGACATGGATGAACAGAATACTGAGAAAAAAAAAAAAAGGAGTTAATCTAAACTTCGATAATCCATATATACAATTGGCCAAGCATAAAACAAGTTCATCTAAAATTACAAAATAAATAAACATGTCTATCTTCATTTTCCTTAATATAATACCCCGTATCTGCTTACTATTCAATATTTGTATATTAATGCACCTGAGCCACTAATGACCATGGGAAAACAGAATTGACAAACATGTACTTTCACTATTTTTCATCGCGGCTAGCATTTGATCCATCTAAGAAAGAATGCTTATTATCACCATATAAGAAAGAATGGGTTAATAAAAGCTGAGTAAGACCAGATCCAAAGCCAAAGATGACACGTGCACTAAATCTTAAACTTATACTAGCTCAAGAACAGCTGAAACAGGGAGTTTGCAATTGTCATGCACGCTACTTAACTTCTTCCTGGAGGAGATCGTGGAAAAGTCAACGCAGAAGTAAACTTTCTACTTCACTACACTGAACAGAAGCAGATTAGCAGATCACAATCAGAGCAAGGAACCCTCATCCTCTACTATGCTATAAGATGTTTTCTGAAAGTTGCACGATGTTTTTCAATATTTAATTCAAGAAGTTTTAGCCGTTGCAATATATTTGGTCTTATACGACATTGATATATGGGTAAAAAAGCCTTTATGAGCAACCCTCTTAATATTAATTTCATGTATCATTATATTCGAGGAACATGGGGACTAGTTGAAGTAATGAGCCTTCCCATACAAGGGACTCGTTACTTCAAATCAGATAATGAAAGAAATTGAAGCAAAATAGCTATTCCGTGGTGACTTTGGTTTACAAGGTTTTTCGGAGAAGTTGATAAATTTTTCAAGAAACAAGATAATCAAATTTTCACATGAACTTTATAACCATTTACAAATACTTTAAATTGAGAGCTATAGTTCACAACACATTTCAATACGAAGAGCAGTGATTTAAGCAAATAACTTACTGAAGAATAGGCAGAAATGCAATAATCAGGATGCCGAAGCAAAGCTAGCACCGTCTCTGCAACAAAAATAAGAAAATACTAGGATCAACCAAATACAGAACAGAAGTTGCATGAGCCAAATGCATTCTCTCACTGTCAACAAGAAAATGTAACGGCATGAGGTTTCTGGAATATTATACCAATTGAACAATGAATGAAAGATTATGCAAATGTCATTTAAAGTAACCTTAACAGTCATCTACAAAATGTTACTCCAGTCCTCTGTTAATGACGAGACATTTCATGGAGTCAAGAGTTTTGTAGGCCCTGAAGGCCATACTAAAACCGGAACAACATAATCAACTATGTCTTAAACTCAAAGGACATCAAACTACCGCATGTCAAGTTTCTATTGAAGGAGAGATAAAAATACCAATATATGCTCACTACAAACCAGAATTAAATGAATGAACCACCATATCCAACATTCTGAAATCCAAACCCAAAAGATCGAACAATTGGCAGAAAAATATAATCGCATGAGATATGTTACCAGTCAATACATAGTGTAAACCCTCTGAGCTTGATGTATCCGCGGTTTCTGCAATTCGGTTGAGATCCTTCTGGAGTGACCTCCCTAAACCCAACAACCCCACCTATTGACCAAAGAAAAGACATCCAAAGATTAGAACCCCCCAAAGAAAAAGAGAATTTCTACACTAAAATGATTGATCAGCTATCAACAAAACCCACCTGCAGCTTCAACACACTCGTTTTCTCAGTAGCCGTGAGCAGACTACTGTTCTCGGAACCCTCGGACAAAAACCCAGAAACCAAAATAAACGCCACGAACGCAACGAAAATTAGGGAAGCAGAGGACCCCACTCCGACGGCCGGACCTAAGAACACGCCGCCAAACGGAGAGGGCGCGTAGTACGGAACGGAATATGAGAAACCAGAATCGGATCCCAAAGACGACCTCGACCTAGGAGCACTGTAACTCCTCGACGAGGACGAAGTCGAAGACCGCGAAGAGAAGGAACTGCCGCCCATACGCCCACCGGAGCCCGCGGCCAGCGCCCAATCAGGGTTGTGCACCAACAGCAGCCCCACGAGAACAGCCGCCGCCGCGGGTCTTTTCAGCGCCTTGAGCGCATTTTTTATGCAGCTAGACACAAGCTCAAAATGATTCCTCTTATTATCGGTCTCCAATTTCGCGAATACGCCATTCTTCTGACCAATATCCTGGTAAGGGCGATCGGACCCATCATTGATGGGCGAAAGATAGCATTTGACGCCGAGTGTTCTGAGAGATTTGATGCGAAAAACCCTGAGATAGGCGAAGGAATTGTGGGCCGGGGATTGAGGAGAGTGGTATAGGTGTTCTTTCAATCTGAGGGTTGGGTCCTGTAAAAGGAAGCTTGAGGCGGTGGCGGCCATGGCTTATCCGGGTGTTGATGAATCAAATGCGAGATGAGATATGGTTTTGCAGAAAATTGAGGGTGTTGCAGAGGGAGAAGATGACTGTGTGGCGGGTGTGGGCTTATGAGATTTCCCACACCACGTCACCACCATAGGTCCATAGTACAAATTACAAGTTCATTTTTGAGATTTTTTTAGGATTTTCAAGTTTTGGGAAGAATTCTACGGAATTTAGGGGTGTATTCAATTCGGATTTTTAAATATATTATAAGATTTTAAAAATTCTATTGCATTCAATTTAGATTTGTTAAGATTTTTTAAAACTTTTAAAAATTTTGGAGTATTCAATTAAAAATTTTGAAAAGTCTTATAAAATTATGAGGTATTTAATTTATTTGACACTGGAATTTATTAAGACTTTTTAAGATTTGTTCCCCTCCCTTGACTGCCTGTCTTAGCTGCCTGTGACGCCCACATGCTTGAGTGCGTCTGCTTGTCGCCAAACCAGGTCACCGACATGTCCGGCATCTGTCCCTCCAAATCTTTAATTACGCGTCATGTAATGTCGTATGTATTCTAGAGGTGGTGGGGATTTCTAAACTAAAAACTTTGTAAAAAATCCCACTTCAAATCCTATCTCCAAATGTAAGATTTCATGGAATTAATCTTAAAAAGTCTCAAATCTTAAAAATTCTTATAATATCACTTAAAATCTCAATTGAATACACGTCCCTTAGAGCATTCACAATGTTTTGGGTTCAATCATAAAAAAATTGTATGTCATCTAAAAAATAGACCTAGTCTAAACAAATGTATTCTTCAATGCAAACAAAAATAGACTGGTCCTGCTGATGTGTTACCCAAAAAAAAGACACATTTATCCTAAGTCTATTTTAAACCAAAGTAGAGATTCTAGAGACCTGGTCTCTTTGCATTAGAATGAATTTTATCAATATTAAATAATTTTATTCATGTCATCGAAGACTTCTGTTTGTTTAAATGTCACATGGATAAAACTAAACTCGATGCATTGTAGATGTTGTTACAAAAACAAATATAAGACTAGACCCAGATTAGGGGCATAATCTAGTTTTTCAAGTTTCAAACAAACTCTCTGTATAATATACATATGCAAGTAAAGGAATTGAGAAACTTGTTACATGCTAAGAAAACGATAATTTTTCTTTTTCTCATAAATAACACAAACAATTATTCTCACAAAATAAGATGAGATGAACAATCTCCACGTTTGAGAATACATGAAAGCAAGTATGTGTATAGAGATACTGCACCACATAAATTATATACAACCGGAGATCATACAACAAAACAGCCCCATATATGCTTAGGAAGGTGAGGAACATTCTTTACAAATAGAAACCGTGGTTTATTAACTTCTCCATCTCTCTTTAGAGAAACATTTCCCATGGAACGTTCACATCAAAATCGCATGTTCAGCTGTATCATGGAGAACGCTAAACTACTATTGAACAACATTTACAGTTGAGGAATGGAGGCTCCTCTTTTAAGGCATCGGTTTAATTCCAATCTGCTGACTCAATGGGGCAGTCGGTTGCTCTGCATGTGAAGGAACGACAAGGCGCTGCAAAGGCTTGAGCGCCACACAAAGCTGAGCAAAAGACGGGCGCAAATTTGGATCCCTGTTTCAATTGGTCCATTATATCCAGGACCAAAAGAGAGACACATTGAGAGAGATGTATACGTATTGAAGAAAACCTGTTCCAAAGCAGTTTGACGATACGTGTCCCGCCAAACAGAGCAAAACATGCAACTTCCTAGTTATTTTAGTTGTTTTCACCTTTTACTGTCGTCTAGTAATTTTTTAAATACATTTTTTATTTTAGAATATTTTTAGAGGATTTGTTTCATGTGGAATGTCTCGAACATATAAAGGACCTTACATTTGCCAGCATTCCCATATTATCCTAGCTACCAGGGGGTCGACTTCCTTTGGGATGTCGAGTCGTCGGTGTTGGAAACCTACGGCGCCCACCACTTGCATCGGATTCATCCCGCTCCAAGGCAATTTGAGAGTTGCGAGTTCCCATAGAATAACTCCAAAGCTGTACACATCACACCTGTCGAGTTCACAACATTAACTTGTAAAACTATTCAAACTCAAAAAGGGAATATAGAAAATGATGGAGGTGACCTATAAATGAATATTTTTCTTAATGTCATCAGCATCTTTGAAATCACAACTTCAGTTTATTTTACTGGAGAATCAACATTACTTACGAAATCACTCATATGCTACCTAAGTGCACGGATGAAACTTCAATCTTGAGGTGGAATTTGAACAGAACATATAGAGAATGGAAATGCAAGAAAAATAATTTGATTTGGTGATACTGATTTCATAAAAAGCAACAAAATAAACAAAGAAAGGTTCAAGGTTTTATAGGAAATAACAGTGAAATGACATTTTAGAAGGCACAACTAACTGTTCTTCTACCACATTGGAAGTATACATCTAGCATGATTTTTACACAAACTATGCAATCTAAACATCTTAAGGCTTGATTTTCGAAAAAAATTTATCTTTGCCATTTTTTTAATAATATAAACCTACATTATCAAAGCACAAAAACAAAATATAGCAGGCCACTTCTAAATTCAAAGCATTAAATAATCACTTTGTTGTTAGCTTCTTAAACAATCCTAACTAACATCATAAGAGCACATAAAAAAATGCGTAAGAGCCCAACTTTGCCATTTGCAGGATCACATTAACAATAATGAGGTACATATAAAACATGACACGAACACACGCGCGTACCCAATTGCCAGCTTCAGAAGTCAAGGACTCGAATGCCCAACGAAGAAGAAAAAGAGAAGGATTATCTAGATGATGACATGGTAATCTCAACCTAGCACTTTCCATCTACACTGGAAGGGCTTCGAGGGACTCATAGACATTGTAACTTTTGTCATACAAGTTATAGCAGTAAAACGTAGCAAACACATAAGTGTGTGAAAATAATGTTTAAAAGCAGTGTATAGTTTCATTGATAGCATATGACAGCAGTAGCATGACGCATGAAGCTGTTTGACTTACTTTTCATTTGAAGGCTCATTTCGGAGTACTTCTGGGGCCATCCACTCCGGCTTCATATCCAACAGAACATCCAAAAGTATATTATTTGAAAGAATAAACAGAACAATGACCCAATAAACATTAAACTCCTAGATTTAAATTGGAATATGAAGTGCACAAGTATTTTACAAAAGCTATGACAAATACTCACTGTTCCAGCTGTTGACTTGGAAGACAAAAAAGTATTGTGCTTCAATCGAGACAATCCAAAATCACCCACCTGCACATAGTATCACATAATCTAACGCTCCCAACTGCAATAACTTATGATCGGAAAATCTATGAACATGTTTGAATTTCACAACTTCGCATAGTATGTTGAAAGTAAATATACATTTCTTGTCAAAAATGATAGCAATGTAAAAGCCTAATTACATGGCCTTGAAATAAATTTTTACGGAAACAACACGGTGTGTGCTAGACTCATAATCATGTGATAGAAAATCTAACAACAGTGTTAACCTTAACATTCCAGTTGTTATCCACCAAAAGATTGGGTGATTTTAAATCACGGTGAACAATTGTCGGTATGCTTGTGTGTAAGCAGTTCATGCCTTTAGCCTGAAAGTAAAAACTCCAAATCAGATATTAATAACAAATGAGTTACTAATGTCCTGAGGAATGCAACAAAGGTAAACATCATACCACATCAAGAGCCATTTTTATTCTTCTCTTTTCATCAATTTGACAATGAGGGCGATGAATTATCCGATATAAGCTTCCACTGAAATAAACAAATGTGTGGATTCAGATTGAGATTCATTGGTGTTTTATTACAATAAAGTGTGATGTAAATGTGTCTGTCAATCAGGATAGTTCGCAGAAGCATGTGTAATTAAATCATTTACACATAGTATGGGCTATAATTAGAAGGTGGAGGTGATTACAACACATAATAACCTTTTTCAAGGCTTTTGTGAAAGACTCGTGAGAAGGATGGAGGGAAAGAAAAAACCAAGGATTGACAACTTACCGAGGAAGAAACTCAGTGATGATAGAAAGGTTTGGGGGGCGAGTTACTGCACCCATAAAAAGAACTACATTTGGATGGCGTAACCTGCGCATTATCCTCACCTGTGATCATAAAACAGTAACTAATCCATCTAGAATAAAATATCACCTTTAGTTAACAACATAACAGACAAGAAATTTCATTTATTACGCAAAATCAAAGAACACAATGATATAAAGTTAATCGGAAACCAAATCCAATGCTTTACTGCATACCAATTTCGTCATGCTAGTGAAAAGTAAACATTCAAAGAATTACAAGAACGAAGAATCCAAGTCACAGCAAATACAACAAATGCCGCATTACTGAATGTAATTGGGCCGTAATTTACCATGAACACATCATTATCCAGTACAGTTAACTATTTGAGATCAGTGCCAAGTCTTATACTTAGTTCCTGTCTTAATTTTTTCCTTCCCCTTTTGATTCTTAAATTGTATATTTTATAATTATTATTATCATTATTATTGTTATTATTATTATTATTATTATTCATTTTTTTCTTGAGAAGCGCGAGAGCTAATAAACAGTTTCGTGCAGAACTTATATATAATATAAACTGCCAGGTGCACTTGTTGTGTAGGAGATCACGAAATCATTCTAAGATTTTTCTCCTTTTTTGGCACGCCAAAAGTTATAAATAAATTGTGTCAATAATCATAAATTACAGGATAGGTAATAAAAGTGAACCTTTTTTTATATTACTTTACTATGATCACATACAACATATCCATGGGTTAAATCTAAGGACCCTTACTTCTCTTTTGAACTCATCCAAAGCAGCACCTGAGAAATCTTGATCAAGGAATTTCTTCACAGCAACTTCCTGTTTTCAAAGAAGCAGGAGATGTTTACTCCATAAAACAATAAAAAATGATCAAATGTCACTTTGCATTGCTATGCCTTATGAGAATTAATGAAACCAGTACAACATCCACTCATAAGGAACATAACAAAGAGGAATATACGCTCATAAATGCCACTCCCTATTGTATCATGCACACATGCAAAGGTTAGGCTCACTACTTCATTCTACAAGTAAGAGAATATGCTATTACAATTAGCATAATTGCTTTTGTATACATAGAACATAAGAACAAGAAAAACTTCGCCTATAATTGCTTGATTGTTCTGGATAAATCATTTTATCATAGGTTGGTTTTTTAGACTGCATGATTCCAGTCTTGATTGTGGTATCACGAGGCATTAACTCCAGTGATAGAATCCTTCTCAATCTAGCTTAACACTAAATCACAATCTACAAGCACCTTTATTATGATGAATATTACTTTAATATCCACATTTCGTGTGGTTATTGATTAAGATCCTCACTGGTTCATGCAAAATCATCATTAACCTTCACAAATTGCTATCTCTGAACATTTCACTTCAGCAGCCCACGCAACACATGACATGGGAAATAGTACAATCGTGTTCAGTCTATAACTCCAGCACGGAAATTGCCAAATTTCTTACTTTGCAGTTGAAACAGAAACAATTAAGGATGGAGCTGGATATCACTGTTGCAATCAACTGTTGTTGCAATCAAGTGTAGTTGATGATGTTGAAAGAAAAAATCACTATTCCTATCTAATCAACTATTTCCATACAACCAACTGTTTATCCTTAAACTTCAGTAACGACCAAGCTATATAAATATTGAACAAACGCTAACTTTAGTATATGGATAATTGGAAAGATTTGCATAAAGAAGACGACTTACAGTGCCGTTCCAATCAGCATGGTAGACCTCGCCATAAGAGCCTGCAAGGATAATGCAGAGTGGCTGAAAACAAACTCTCATAAGATAGCAAGATGAAAATATAGCAGAATAGTGGCGACCCCAGGAAAAAATGTGAAGAAAAATGAAATCAGTTGTACTAATCATCAGGTGAAAGCATATAAAGCAGGTAATGTATTACCTAGTCCAATCCTTTCACCAAGGTCAAGATCTTCCCAAGCAATTTCACATTCACCAACATCATCAATCTCTGTATCAACTTTAGAACTTGCACCTTCAGTTTCCTTCATTTTCGAATTGATCGTAATTAATCTTTCTCCCATATTTTTCCGAATCACGTGGTCACCAGGACTAGCTTCAGTTCTCGCCATTTGTAGATCCACTCCGCAATACTTTTCCCCACCATTTGAAGTGAAACCTTCCACAGAAGACAATTGAGCATATCCACTTTCACCGGATGTCTCTCCAGGATTAGCTAATGATATTCCTGGTGACTTGGAGGGTGGTCTGGGTGGGATCTTTGAACTTCTAGATACAACTGATGATTGATTGCCATTGTTAGCTCCTCTATTGTTCCTCATAAATGAACCTTCACTGTCATTTCCCTTATGGACATCATTAAATGCATGACGGTTTTTCCACATCAAGGGCGCAGCAGGAGGCCGACTGCTAACAATGTTTGCTTTCGGAAAATGCAATTTACCAACTTCATATCCAAGACTATTCTGCACAACGTTTTTGCCAGAGCCTTTTATCTGAAAGGGATTGAGCTCCGAAAACAGATTTTTTGAATCTTCAGAACTTTTCTGACTGTATGGAACAACATTCATATTTATCCTCATGACATCGCCTGCTGAATTGGGTCCTAGGCTCCCTTTATTTAATGAACTTCCAATTGACTGTGACAGGCTATGATCCAATTGATTAGCAGAAGTCAATTTGTCATTTAATCCAGAAGTTCCAACTCCGTCCTTAGCACTGGCATCCATTGATGACAACAGTGCTTCTGACTTCCACGGTGAAGCTAGAAAAGAATCCCAAGTAGGCTGTGTCGAAGAAACTTGTGTATCACTAGTTGTATGCAAACTGGAAATCCTAGCTTGTTGTGGATTGTTTGACAGAGCACCTTTCCCACTCAGAGCATCAGCGGGGATAAGTGTTCCAGGGGCTCCCATTAGATCAACCAAGCACTCACTGCAGGAATAAGTAAAAGACATTTAAGCAATGCAAAATATATAAAAACGCAAAGTTTTATTCATAATACACAACAATAAGTCAATAATATTCCGCATTTTTAGAGATACAGTAAGTTTGTCATCTCATCTGGTAAAGCAGCCTGTGGTTTTAACTGTAAATCTGCAATGAATACAATTTGAGACACTTACAACCACCGCAAGTATTGCCAAAACCCACCGACACAAATTTTCGCCCGTCAAAGGCACCAATAACAGTGCATCATCACAAGAAATGAAACTATTACATGTTGGGAATTTGACAACAGTTGTATTATGTAAAGGAGCAATGAAGAATAACTTTTAGTTAAAAAAAAAAAAAAAAAAAAAAAAAAAAAAAAAAAAGATATACTTCCTTATTAGGAGAAAATGTGCTTTACCCCTTACAAATTGATTTAATTCGCCATCAAAGCTCTAACGTTGTACTTTGAAACACTCAAACTTTCAAACATGCTATTTAATACAAAAGTATGAAGACAAGATAAGGTTTCCAACAAGACATTATACATAAAAAATAATCCGAGTTGGTACCATTTCTATTTATTATAAGTTTGTCTTGGGATGAATGTAATAAGATATTTTGTGTCTCAATGCCAAATCTTTCAGAGAACATTAGCATAGCATTCCAGTTTTGTAAGGCCCAAGAAACATATCATCTTTATCTTTCTCAAAAACAGTGGCAACAAACTCATTCATACTTCCCATATTCTTGTGCCATTTACTTAGTGCATCATATCCAACAGAAGCCTTAATCTATACAATTGATAAGAAATTCCTGGTGCCTCATCCTACTGCAACTGGTCCAATTATGTCATGGCCCCTATACTAGATTCATTTTAACCATGCATATGAGCCAGACAGACATTATTTTCTTTCCATTTTACAATTTGATCCTTTCCTCCAAAAACCACAAAATCAATTAGACATTACAAAATGAACATTTAGGTACAAGCTTCTTAAAATAACCTGGTCTAAAAAGGCCTTAAATGAAACCAATCTAAAGTTTCTCCAAAACACAATTCAGTTTCTAACTAAATTTTTTTTATCCAACACAATAGTTTCTACAAGATCTATCGTGCATGCAGTACATGACTCAGAGTAGACTCAGGAAAGTTTCATCTCTCAACTTTAAGAAAAGGTACTACACTTGAACAACTTATCGTAGCTAACACAAAACCAAAGTCGAAGATTTGAAACATGACACACATGCCAATATGAATTCCCTTACACAAGTTATGTGGACAGGAAAGTGAGAATTCAATGCTTAGTGTCACCGTAGTAAATACTTCCTTCAATCCACCAACTACTCTCAACACAATATAACATCACTTGATAGCAAGAACATTTTCAATTGCTAACTAATAATGTTTCAACATTACAAATACCTAAGCATGAGTCAGGATTTATCAAACTCGGCTTGATTCTCAACAAAAATAAAAAAATATATCATAAAGAACATATTAGAATTTATTTCTGTGTTACCTATCATCGTGTAGCTTTACAACATTAACAGCATCATCCTCAATACCAGTGTAGTGACTGCCCTTCACTAGTCTACAGGGTAGTCCGACACTATCAGCTAATGCCTGCATTCAAGACACCAATAAATTACATAAAGGCCCAAATTCTAGCATAATCAGAAATCAAGAGCATTTGACAACATACTGAGAAGGCTTAAGCTCTAATTTTTCGTGCATGAATACAATCATACATTTTGTAGCAAATATAGCACATCATCTGGATACGATATACAAAGGCCAAAAATATTGCATTATTAGAGAAACTTAGCACCATTACGAATAACTGAAAACTAATAACTTTCTTTACGAAAGAAAAATAACTAGGTTTTCAATATATGGATAATAGCCTATAGTGGAGTTTTGCATGTCTGATGGCGTTGTTGCCAAAAGCAGATGCGCGCCGTCATCAGATGAAATATTTAACTATATGAATAGACAAATCACAGCCTGTCAGCGTCAATGCACCCAACCTTCTACTTACTCTGCTATTGTAAGATTTCCCCCCTTCCACAACCACCCTAGAGTTTCCTTTCCCTTCACCCCATCACTGCTCCATATGCCCTCAAGATTCCCTCGTTCCTCTTTATTAGTTATCACCATCACCTTCATGCCTCTTTGAATAGACAAATGCGCAGCCATTACCCAGTCTTCTACTTACTCTGTGGTTCTACGATTTTCCCCCTTCCAAAATCACCCTCCACTTTTCTTTTCCTTCACCCCACCCACTGCTCCATTGTCCCTCAAAATTCTTCATTCCTCTATGTCACCATCACCTTCTGCCTTCTTTATACATCCCCATTTTATGTAGACCACATCCATGACAACCCACTATAACATTGGCATGACTAGACAGAATACTCAAGAATGATGTGATGGTGTACAGGTACAAGAATATTGGTGGCAGACCACATCCATGATGTCGACAACATAACCAATATTAGTCAATAGATAAGATTAAAGAGGAAAAACGATATGACTAAGCAAAGATGCACATCATCAACATCAACATCAACATACCCAGTATATTCCCAAACAGGTTGGGGTCTGGGGGGTCAGTTGTACGCAGACCTTACCCTTGTAATTATACAAGGAGGCTGTTTCCATAGCGACCCAAGGTGCGTTGCGTCGTTTGACTAAGCAAAGATGCATGGTGAAAAATAACAGAATGAATGGACAAATGTAATTCAAATAGATATGGACAGTGCATTACAAAAATTCTAGAAATTTCTATGACATCCATAAATTTTTGTTCCATTTCAACCCCTAACTATTCCCCATATCTAAACCCTACATTGCCTAACATTTTCTCATCTAGCACTGGCAAAGCCCAAAGCAAGCCAATTTCGACAAGATAGCTTGGTTCCACAATCATTTAAACCTTAAAGTAATCAATTCTCACTTAGATTTAAATTCATACTCCACATATGACCAGGCATAAGTTTCAACTGCTAGAAAAAGATTTGCTGCTGATGTTGATCAACTGTTTTAGCTCCATGCATTAGTGCATTAGTTTTGTTTTGGTTACTTTCTGTTGATAACAATATTTGCAGCTTTCTATAGCACACACATCTTTCTTATATTTAATTCTGGTGAATCAAAAGGTCCACATCCATGAATCAGGACTAACTTCACCATACTATAAAGAATGTGCGAGATCTTCTTTATAGGTGAGAATTGTTTCGGAGGGCACCTGAGAGTACTGAAATTATTACGACTCATATATTCTCACAAATGACCACACGTCACTTATGCACTCGACAAGGGGCTTCATCATACCTACTATAAAAAAAAATAAGAATGGTGAATAAATTTGAAATCTAAAATCTTGCCTTGAAAAGCAGAGCACGGTGCCGTGAGAGGCCAATTCTCAATGATCCAATTGGCAGTACGGTAGTCTGAAGAGATGTCCTTAGGTCCATGCTTCTCTCCATCCACTTAGCCAGCATAAGATTTGCATCACGTACAGGTCCACCCAGGTGCTCTGTAACAAGTTCAGCTAGTCGTTGTATAAGCAGAACAATTTCAGATTTAGGGCAATCCAATACAATGCAGTGTGCTATCTGCATCAACTCCTCCAAAGCAGGATCTATTTTTCTGTTAACTATGACAACCTCATAATCCGGGCCCCCAATTTTGCTCTCAAGTTCCGCAAGAGAAGGCATATTCCCTCGAAGAGCTGGATCACCAGATAGATTGTACACATCATAGAAACCATCCACCATTCTCTCCTCAAAATCAAGGACGCCGAAATTCTATAAAATATATGAAGCTATGTCACAACAATGAAGTGCATTATTCTCCCATCAATGAACAATTTCAACATAAACACAAATTATATAAAATACTTGATGCAGTTACTATACTGACACTGTTATAAGGGAAGCCAATATTAATATTAGATTAGAAACTTTCATCCACAAAAACGTCACAACAGCAGTACCATATCCAGTGAATGGAATTTTTCTTGCCAATTTACTGATATCTTTATGTTTGAGCCCCTACTTTCAGTTCACATTCTTACTGACAGAAGTCAATCAAATAATTGAATACAATACACTGACCTAAGTTGAGCAAATTAACAATATTGCAGCATCATAATAGAAATTAAGCAACTCCTTCGGATATAATTCAAAAATTCATGGGCTGAAACTAATTATCATGTTAGCTCATTCATCATTAAATTAGTTGGGAATACTTTAGAAGCCAAGTAGAGCAGACTTTAAAAACCAAGCAGGAACATAATATACTCTCAACACTCTCAGTGTACAGCTCGCTTATCATCGAAATTATTCACAGGGGAGGAAAAAACAGATATTAGCTAATTTCAGTGTTCATAAAAGAAGATATAACTGAAAAGGAACAAAGGATCAGCAACTAGACACATCAAGACTTCAACAGCTGATTGTAGGAGGCTTTCTACTTCAAAGACAACAAATTTGGTGCGGCTCTATTCCAACAACAACCGGCTAGGTCAGGAGCAAAAGCAAATTGAACTGACCCAATAGCGGCGAGACAGCAAGTCGGCGGCGGCGTTGGCGTTATCAGGGCTACGGATCGGGGATTTTTCCGGGTCAATAGATGAAGAATCCTGACCCGACGACGACACGCTCAGGGCCAAGGCGAGCTGGACCTGGTACTCCTCCTCGGATGCGTAGTAGTCCTGCTGTGGATGATGCACGCTATTATTACCTTCGCCACCGGGGTTGCTATTGCCGGAGGGGGCGGCGGCGGAGCTGGGCGCCGGAGAAGACGAGGTGGTGCGATTGTCGGAGCTGGATGGGGATTGGGGCAGCGGTGGTTGAGGGGTCTCATTGGAGCGGTTGGGGTGGTGATGGGGCTTCTTCTTGAAAATGTGTTTCATTGCTTCTCCTCTCTCTCTCTCTCTCTCTCTCGACCCACACACAGAGTAAAGGCTGTTTTGTTTTTTTTTTTTTTTTCCTTTCCTTTTTTCTGTGTATTTACTATTGGTAAATGCTAAGGTCCCGTTACGGAACCATTTCGTCAGGATTTGTAACCGTTAGATCAACTATCCCGCATCTCCCTTTACTATTTAGTGAATATTTTTATGTATTATATGATTAAGCCGACGACGAGACAACCATCCGATGGGGTGGAAACTTAACGCGGTGGACTAAAAAGGGGTTGCACAGTGGAAATGCTCCACTGTCAAAAGACTTTTCTTCCAAAGCCAATTTATTGAAAAAATTACTCCATTCATCTTATGTGAAAGAATTACAAGAATTACAGATGGAGGTCGTCATAGCATATTTGAATAAATACAATCGTTATTGGCTTCGTATTTCTTAATTTATTTATTTCTTTTTCATTCTTCTTAATCCGTTTTTTTTTTTTTTGTTTTTTCGTAACGGATTTGAATCCGTCTTTCAATTTTTTTTTATCTTTTAGTTTGAATTGTGAAATTCGGGCACGTCCGAACTCAGAATTGAGTTCCGTTTTTTCTTACATGTCAACAACGAAGCCTTCTACGTATTTATGCTTTCGAATCTAATTTATTCTTGAAAACCTATTCTCCTAAAGCTCTTAACCTGAAGTTGGCAGCTTCCGTGCACGACTTTGCATATCGGGCCCGTTCGGACTCGTCCGAACTCGAAATAGAGTTTCGATTCTTCCTACATGTTGCCAACGAATCCTACTACTAGAGCATGCTTTCTTGACAAATTTTCGGGCTGGAACTATTCCTTGCGTGGCTTTCGGCCAAAAACAGAGAAAAAAAATAAAAAAAACGAAGAAAACTAGCAAAATTCGGGCTCGTTTTGGCTCATCCGAACTCGAAATTGAATTTCGGTTTTTCTTACATGTCGCCAACGAAGCCTTCTATATAATTATGCTTTCAAATCCAACCTATTCATGAAAACCTATTATCCCAAACCTCTTGACCTGAAGTTGGCGGATTTCTACACGACTTCGCATATCGGGACCGTTAGGACTCGTCCGAACTCGAAATTGAGTTTTGATTCTTCATACATGGCGCCAACGAATCCTACTACTAGAGCATGCTTTTCTGACCAATTTTCGGGCTGGAACTATTCCTTGCGGTGCTTCAGGCCTAAAACGAGGGAAAAGAATAAAAAAAAACGAAGAAGACTAGCAAAAATCAGGCTCATTTGGGCTCGTCCGAACTCGAAATTGAATTCCGTTTTTTTCTACATGTCGCCAACGAAGCCTTATATGTAATTATACTTTCAAATCCAACCTATTCTTGAAAACCTATTATCTCAAAGCTCTTGACCTGAAGTTGGCGGCTTCCTTGCACGACTTCGCATATCGGGACCGTTCGGACTTGTCCAAACTCGAAATTGAGTTTCGATTCTTTCTACATATCGCCAACGAATCCCACTACTTGAGCATGCTTTTAGGGCAATTTTTTGGGCTGGAAATAATTCTTGCGGTGCTTCCGACCTAAAACGGTGGAAAACAAGAAGAAAAACGAAAAAAAAAAAAAACTAGCAAAATTGTACTAATTTGAATTCAATTTGACTAATTCGAGTTCAATTACACCATAATTGACCTACATTGTACTAATTTGAGTTCAATTAGACAAATTCGAGTTCGATTACACCATAATTGCCCGAGATTGTACTAATTTGACTTTATATTGGACTAATTCGAGTTCGACTACACCATAATTGACTTTGGTTGTACTAATTTGACTTTGATTATAGTAAATTGACTTCGATTATACTAATTTGACTTCGATTGGATGAATTCAAATTCGATTATAGTAATTTAACTTTGATTTGACTAATTCGACTTTGATTTTAGTATAATTGACTTCTATTGTACTAATTTGACTTCGATTATAGTAATTTAACTTCGATTGTACTAACTTGACTTTGATTGTACTAATTTGACTTCGATTATACTAATTTGACTTCGATTGTACTAATTCAGCTTTGATTGTACTAATTCGACTTTGATTGGACTAGAATGACTGATTGTACTAATTTGACTTCGATTATACTAATTTGACTTCGATTGGACTAATTTGACTTCGATTGTACTAGTTTGATTTCGATTTGACTAATTCGAGTTTGATTGGACTAATTTGACTTCGATTGGACTAATTTTACTAATTTGACTTTGATTATAGTATTTTGACTTTGATTGGATTCGATTACACTATAATTGACCGTGATTAGACTAATTCGAGTTCAATTATACTAATTTGACTTCGATTGGACTAATTTGACTTCGATTAGACTAATTTGATTTTGATTGTATTAATTTGACTTCGATTGGACTAATTTGACTTCGATTGTACTAATTTAATTTCGATGTAATTTGAGTTCTATTGGACTAATTTGATTTCGATTGGACTAATTTGATTTTGATTATACTAATTTGACTTTGATTATAGTAATTTGACTTCGACTGAACTAACTATAGTTCGATTACACTATAATTGACCGTGATTGAAGTAATTCGAGTCGATTATACTAATTTGACTTTGATTGGACTAATTCGAGTTCGATTACAGCATAATTGACAATGATTGTACCAATCACGGTCAATTATAGTGTAATAGAACTTGAATTAGTCCAATTGAACTCAAATTAGTACAATTTTGCTAGTTTTTTTCTTTTTCTTTTTGTTTTTCCCCGTTTTAGGTCGGAAGCCCCGCAATAGATATTTTCAGCCCAAAAATTTGCCGTAAAAGCATGCTAAAGTAGTAGGATTCGTTGGCGACATGTAGGAAGAATCGAAATTCAATTTCGAGTTCGGACAAGTCCGAACGGTCCCGATATGCGAAGTCGTGCAAGAAAGCCGCAAACTTCAGGTCAAGAGCTTTGACATAATAGGTTTTCAAGAATAGGTTAGATTTTAAAGCATAATTATATAGAAGGCTTTGTTGGCGACATGTAGGAAAAAAACAGAATTCAATTTCGAGTTCGGACGAGCCCAAACGAGCCTAAATTATGCTAGTCTTCTTCGTTTTTTTATTCCTTTCTCCCGTTTTAGGCCGGAAGCCCCGCAAGGAATAGTTCCAGCCCGAAAATTGGTCAGAAAAGCATTCTCTAGTAGTAGGATTCGTTGGCGACATGTAGAAGAATCGAAACTCAATTTCGAGTTTGAACGAGTCCTAACGGTCCCGATATGCGAAGTCGTGCAAGAAAGCCGCCAACTTCAGGTCAAGAGCTTTGAGATAATAGGTTTTCAAGAATAAGTTGGATTTGAAAACATAATTACATAGAAGGCTTCATTGGCGACATGTAGGAAAAAAAATGGAATTCAATTCGGACGAGCCCAAACGAGCCTGAATTTTGCTAGTCTTTTTTTTATTTATTATTTTCCCCGTTTTAGGCCGGAAGCCCCGCAAGGAATAGTTCCATCTGTAAAATTGGTTATAAAAGCATTCTCTAGTAGTAGGATTCGTTGACGACATGTAGGAAGAATTGAAACTCAATTTCGAGTTCGAACGAGTCCTAACGGTCCCGATATGCGAAGTCGTGCAAGAAAGCCGCCAACTTCAGGTCAAGAGCTTTGGGATAATAAATTTTCATGAATATGTTGGATTTGAAAGTATAATTATACAGAAGGCTTTGTTGGCAATATGTAAAAAAAACGGAATTCAATTCGAGTTTGGACGAGCCCAAACGAGCCTGAATTTTGCTAGGTTTCTTTGTTTTATTTATTCTTTTTCCCCGTTTTTGGCCGGAAGCCCCGCAAGGAATAGTTCCAGCCCGAAAATTGGTCATAAAAGGATGCTCTAGTAGTAGGATTCGTTGGCGATATGTACGAAGAATCAAAACTCAATTTCGAGTCCGGACGAGTCCGAACGGGTCGATATGTGAAGTCGTGCACGGAAGCTGCCAACTTCAGGTCAAGAGCTTTGGGAGAATAGGTTTTCAAAAATAAATTAGATTCAAAAGCATAATACGTAGAAGGCTTCATTGGCGACATGTAGGAAAAAACAGAACTCGTTTCCGAGTTCGGACGAGCCCTAACGAGCCCGAATTTCACAATCCGATTTAAAAAAATAAAAAAATAAAAAAACGGATTTTGAAAATCCATTTTTTTTTTTAAAAAAAAAAGGAATTTGGAAATCCGTTTTTCTAAAAAAAAGGAATTTTCAAAATCCGTCTGTTTGATTATTGTCCACAGTAATTTTTTTTTTTTTTTTTGCCACAATTTTTTATTTATTTTTAATTAAATAAGCTACCCTCCCTCCCTAGCTATTAAATCTGATTAGGTAGAAAAAATAAATATCTAGCAGTTGTTTAGCTAGAGAAGGCTCTTGCCTATGTTATCTAATATCTGTTGTAAACAAACGATTGAGGCAGATTGTAAACAAACGATTGAGGCAGATTGGAATATTATTGAATTTTATGAGATTTATGTTCTTCTCGAGAGGGAATCTCGTTCTTCCCATTCGTCAGGGGCGGATCTACTTGTGGACGAGCCTGGGCAATTGCCTCAATTTTTTGTGCTAACTATACATATTTAATATGTATTAATAAAAATATTTATATTTAATATGTGTTAAAATATAAATACAAGTTTCTATTTGAAATATTAATATTCTTACAAAATAACATTATTGTTTTTATTTAAAATGATACAATTACTAGTCAGATTTGGTGATATTATATTATAAATTTTTTAGTACTTATACCATATAATAAGTTTGATAGATAAATTTATTGTTTTTCAATTATAATTGATAAATATTTAAATTTTTATTGATAGAGATTAGATAGATGTAATTAATTTAATTTGTATATAGAATATGAAAGTCAAATTATACATTGTCAAAATATGATTAACTTACGTTATCATATAAAATATGATAATATATACAAAAGTTATTAAATTTTAAAATATATTTACAACTTAAGTTAC